TTGAACAGCTGCCAGCTTTCTTGGGTCTCTCTTCAATCCAGAGCTTCTTCCCAAGGAACCTTTCCAGTCAGTTCCCTGAAGAGGCTAAAGTCCGCTCTCCTGAAGTCCAGGGTAGCGAGCTTGCTGCACACCCTCTTCACCTCCGTATGGATCTCTAACTTTGTTTCATGGTCCCTGCAGCCAAGGCTGCCCTTGAGGCTCACATCCCCCACCAGCCCCTCCCTGTTGGTGAGAACAAGGTCCAGCATGGCACCTCTCCTCTGTGGTCCTCTATCACTTGGATAAGGAAGTTGTCATCGACACATTCCAGGAATCTCCTGGCTCTCTTGTGCCTTGCTGTGTTGTCCCTCCAACAGATATCAGGGTGGTTGAAGTCCCCCATGAGGACCAGGGTATGTGAACGTGAGGCTGTTGCTATCTGTCTGTAGAGGGCCTCATCCACTCGCTCATCCTGGCCAGGTGGCCTGTAGCAAACCCCTACTACTGTGTCCCCTCTTCCTGCCCTCCCTTTAATCCTGACCCCTAAGCTCCTCATCCATCCCGAGATGGAATTTCATGCACTCCAACCAGTCTCTGACGCAGAGAGCAAAGACAGGTGTAGAGCTGAGAGTACATTGTAGGATTTAACTCAAAACAGCAAATTCGGGCAAATACGTTGTCCTCTCTGAAAGAAAACATTGACAGTTTGTGTGTGTACCTATAGATGTCGTGGCTACTGCTTATGATAAAGTGCTGAGAAAAGTAATACAAACTAATGTAGCAGTGTTGGATTGTAGGCACAGCATTGTGTTTCAGTATTGGTTCACCATAGCTTAATGTGGGTATTTGCCAACCAGCGAAATTTAGTTCTGCTCTCAGGTGAATGACCCCTAAGATCTTCCTGTTCTGAATTTCTTCAGGAAACCAGACGAATGGATTCTCTGAAAAATTCTACTTAATAGTAATAGAGTATACTCAAAACCGTTCATTACTACATATGTGGCATTTACACTTGAAGTCTATTCCTGTCTCAGTAGGTAAGCCCTCTTTCTTACAGTTTTCTGTTTAAAAAAAAGTCAGTCTCATGATCATATATGCTCTTCATTGTATTCTAAATTGTATTTCAGCTTTCTGACAAGAATCTGCAATTCTTCAATTACAAGCTTTCATTACAATCCATTCTGTTTTGTTTACTACTTAATCTTCAGAATGCTGAAGCTTTTGAGTCCTGCCTGAGTAGGGTTTGGTATTTTTTGTGCATTCTAAGGGCAAATACGTTTATCTGGTTTTAATACAGCCTAACAGTTCATTTGTTTTGTTTCTCAAAGTTTTTGTTCTGCAGTGTTTCAGTTGACACCTGAGTTCTAAATTGGACAGTAGTCTGAAGCACCTAAACACCCGAGAGAAAATTAGGAACAATTTTGAAGGTCT